ACTACGTAGTGTGTGTGTGTGTGTGTGTGTGTGTGTGTGTGTGTGTGTAACTTACGTACTAATAGTATAGTCTATACTAAGTAAGTTAACGCACACACACACACACACACACACACACACACACACACACACACACACACACACACACACACACACACACACACGTAGAAACATTTATAGAGATATGGAGCCACTGTGTCATATAACAGGACAGCTTTTGAAAAAGTAATTAGACTTTTCAAAATGTTCATATGAAAATAGAAAACAATAAATCCAATAAAAAGAGGTGTGTGTTATTTGTCCAGTGAAATAATACAATCCTGCATTTATTTGAAGTCATAAGGTCACATGCAATGGACATTATTGAACAAAATCTAAGTTTTTATTTACAGAAAAAGCAAAATATTCAATAAAATACCTAATAAATATATAAAAATCTGCATTGATTTGGAACATGGGCTTCAAAAATTTCAGTTTCTTCTTTAAAATATTCACATAAATTGAAAAAAGTCCAATAAAAAGAGGTCTTATTTGGCTAATGCAATTAAAACAACGCTGCATTGATTATAAGCTAAAGGTCAAATGACATGAGACCCATTGAAAAAACTGAATTGATCTTCTATTAAAATAATTTAGTTAAATCAATTCATGATGCACAAGTTATCCAAAAGGTTGCACCCCACAAGACACATTTGTCATAATGTTTTTCCCAGCATTATTTTCACTAATATGGGCAAGGTACAAGCGGCCGAGATGGGTTTTCTCCGCAGGGTGGCTGGTGTCTCCCTTAGGGATAAGGTGAGAAGTTCAGTCATCCGGGAGGGACTCGGAGTTGAACCGCTCCTCCTTCGCGTCGAAAGGAGCCAGTTGAGGTGGTTCGGGCACCTAGTTAGGATGCCACCTGGGCGCCTCCCTAGGGAGGTGTTCCAGGCACGTCCAGCTGGGAAGAGACCAAGGGGTAGACCTAGGACCAGGTGGAGGGATTATATCTCTTCGCTGTTCTGGGAGTACTTGGGACCCCCCAGTCAGAGCTGGTTGATGTGGGGAAAGGAACGTTTGGGGCTCTCTGCTGGAACTGCTACCTCCGCGACCCGACCACGGATAAGCGGGAGAAGATGGATGGATGGATGGGCAAGGTATTAAAAACATCATTAAAACAGTCCCTACTTGTGAAGGGCTTGGATTGCCAACAGTCTGTGAAACTAAGGAAGATCGCAGTGAATTCCTGTTGAGAATCCAACCTGAACCTAACTTCCCCTCGTTGGCAGATCTCTTCTCACTGACCTGACGGAACGGTCGTCGCTGCCGGTGACGGCCAGAGGTTTTTTGGGGTGAACGTCCAGCGCCCAGAGCTCTCCCTCGCTGTGACCCTGCATGATCAGCAGGGGCTTGTCCCGATCCCGCACCATCACCTGCACACACACACACACACACACACACACACACACACAG